GCAGATCATGTAAGAAATAGGGTATCCGATCAACCCACTTTTCGTAAAGTAAATGATCGTCCTACTAGGATTCAAACTCCTAAAAATAGGATAGAATTTTGCTAGGATTCAAACTCTTAAAAATATGATAGAGTTCTACTATGATTTAAACTCCTAAAGATAAGATCCACAAGCACTATAAATAGCCATTGTAACTCACTATTGTAACACACGATTTACAGACAAAATACAGAGGAAAACACGGAAAATTCAAAGGCAAAGCTATTGTAAACGATTCGAGGTAATAAAGGTGAAAGCTTTTTTATCATTCGTTTGTTTCTCTTTACTCTTCACTTGCATGCGTTGTTAATCGTTGTTTTCTTTGGAGAACCCCAAAGACAATGTTTTAGCCGATGACCCAGAGGGAGTTTTTTTCGAAACTTTGATTTCAGATCTACGCTCCCTAGAGGCTATTTCGCAAAAACAAATTACATTTTTGGAATGAGAGTACGAAAATCTATCAAGAAATGAAAACTTTTTTATTTTTTTTGCCATTTTTAATCTTCGATGTTCTTTGACATTTACCCACTTAATTTACATTCCTTTCATTTTAATCCCTTAATTAGTTTTATATATATATATACATACTTGCTAATTTTATTTTTATTTTATCATTTTTTTAATTTTTCTCTATTTATATACGTTATTACCCATATATATATTTATTTTCTTTGCATTTTTATTATTACTATTATATTTATTATTATTTTTACTATTATATTTTCCTTTATTCTACTTATTTATATTATATATGTATATTTTTTATATTTTATTATTATTATATTTTTTTACTTTCTCTTTCTTTTTATTATTCTTGTATTATACTTGTATTATTTTTATATTATTTATTTTTGTTATATATATATATATGCGTATGTACTTTTTAAATATTTTAGTTTTATACCTATTATTAATAAATATTTGGTTTTTTTTATTTAAGTGCTATATTTATAATATTATTATTTTTCTATTAATTTTCTATATTTTTTATTATCATATATATATTTATTTTCTTTTTTTATTGATATTGTTGTTATATATACATTTTACTATTATATATAGATATATATATATATATATATATATATATATATATATATATATATATATATATATATATATATATATATATATATATATTCTACACAAGTTAATATATATCTACCTAATTTGTCCCCACCCCTCATCATTTTTCTTCCTGTCAATTATACTTCACCAAACCTTACTTTCTTTTCTTCCGTTTTCGGTGTGATTGTCTTTTTTTAACTACTTATATCATTATTAGTATTGTTACTATATATATAGATATATTAATTATCATTATTGGTTTTTTTACCATATATGTGTATATGTTCTTTTCGTCATTTAATTTATTAATTTATATATATTTACTTATTTATTTATTTTATATATTATATTCGTACTTTGTTATTATTATTTTGTTTATTTGTTTTATTTATTATTTTCTTTTTCATTTTCTTTTTTATATATATTTTATTATTGTTTTTTTACTTACTATTTATCTTTGCTTTCTTCATTTTATCATTTTACTTAATTTGTTTTCTTTTCATTTTAATTTAATTAATTAATTAATTTCTTACCATTTTATCTAACATGGCTTTTTTTACTTTCTTAAGGATACATTTTCAATCAATCAAATGTAAGTTTTGGATCGTTATTTTACCTTTCAATTTAAACTTTCAACTTTCTTAATTAAAGACAACTAGAAATTACATAGTACCGAAAGGGCGGTTCAAGGGTGCTAATCCTTCCTTCACCGTAACCGACTCCCGAACCCGACACATCTTTGGAAAGACGAGATCATGTAGAAATAGGGTATCCGATCAACCCCACTTTTCGTAAAGTAAATGATCGTCCTACTAGGATTCAAACTCCTAAAAATAGGATAGAATTTTGCTAGGATTCAAACTCTTAAAAATAGGATAAAGTTCTACTATGATTTAAACTCCTAAAGATAAGATCCACAAGCACTATAAATAGCCATTGTAACTCACTATTGTAACACACGATTTACAGATAAAATACAGAGGAAAACACGAAAAATACAAAGGCAAAGCTATTGTAAACGATTCGAAGTAATAAAGGTGAAAGCTTTTTTATCATTCGTTTGTTTCTCTTTACTCTTCACTTGCATGCGTTGTTAATCGTGTTTGCTTTGGAGAACCCAAAAGACAAATGTTTTAGCCGATGACCCAGAGGGAGTTTTTTCGAAACTTTGATTTCAGATCTGCGCTCCCTAGAGGCTATTTCGCAAAAACAAATTACATTTTTGGAATGAGAGTACGAAAATCTATCAAAAAACTGAAAACTTTTTTATTTTTTTTGCCGGTTTTAATCTTCGATGTTCTTTGACATTTACCCACTTAATTTACATTCCTTTCATTTTAATCCCTTAATTAGTTTTTTTTATATATATATACATACTTGCTAATTTTATTTTTAATTTATCACTTTTTTAATTTTTCTCTATTTATATACGTTATTACCCATATATATATTTATTTTCTTTAAATTTTTATTATTACTATTATATTATATTATTTTTACTATTATATTTTCCTTTTATTATTATATTTATATGTATATTTTTTATTTATTATTATTTATTTTTTTACTTTCTCTTTCTTTTTATTATTCTTGTATTATTACTGTGTATTTTTATATTATTTATTTTGCTATATATATATATGCGTATGTTCTTTTTAATATTTTAGTTTTTATACCTATTATTAATAATATTTGATTTTTTTATTTTAAGTGCTATATTTTATAATATTATACATATATTTTTCTATTAATTTTCTATATTTTTTATTATCATTATATTATATTTATTTTCTTTTTTATTGATATTATTGTTGTTATATATACATTTTACTATTATTATATATATATATATATATATATTCTATACAAGTTAATTATATCTACCTACTTTGTCCCCACCCCTCATCATTTTTTCTTCATGTCAATTATACTTCACCAAACCTTACTTTCTTTTCTTCCCTTTTCGGTGTGATTGTCTTTTTTAACTACTTATTATCATTATTAGTATTGTTACTATATATATATATTGTAATTATCATTATTTTGTTTTTTAGCATTATATGTATATGTTCTTTTCGTCATTTAATTTATTATTTATATATTTACTTTTATTTATTTTAAATATATATATTATTCGTACTTTGGTATTATTATTTTGTTTATTTGTTTTATTTATTTTCTTTTTCATTTTCTTTTTTATATATATTTTATTATTTATTTTTTTACTTAATATTTTATCTTTGCTTTCTTCATTTTATCATTTTACTTAATTTGTTTTCTTTTCATTTTAATTAATTAATTAATTAATTCTTACCATTTTATCTAACATGGCTTTTTGTACTTTCTTAAGGGTACATTTTCAATCAATCAAATGTAAGTTTTGGATCGTTATTTTACCTTTCAATTTAAACTTTCAACTTTCTTAATTAAAGACAACTGGAAATTACATAGTACCGAAAGGGCGGTTCAAGGGTGCTAATCCTTCCTTGACCGTAACTGACTCCCGAACCCGACACATCTTTGGAAAGACGCAGATCATGTAAGAAATAGGGTATCCGATCAACCCACTTTTCGTAAAGTAAATGATCGTCCTACTAGGATTCAAACTCCTAAAAATAGGATAGAATTTTGCTAGGATTCAAACTCCTAAAAATAGGATAGAGTTCTACTATGATTTAAACTCCTAAAGATAAGATCCACAAGCACTATAAATAGCCATTCACTATTGTAACACACGATTTACAGATAAAATACAGAGGAAAACACGAAAATACAAAGGCAAAGCTATTGTAAACGATTCGAAGTAATAAAGGTGAAAGCTTTTTTTTCATTCATTTATCAGTTGATATAGTAGGATGAAATATTAGGTTTCTTAAGCAATCTCAGGATTTGAATCTGATGTTACGATTAATCGGTTAATAGATCGGGATACTAGTAATTAATTAAAAAAAATAAAATAAATGATTTTATAAATTTCATCTGAAGAGCGAAAAAAAAATAGAAAAGTTGATAGTATTGTGGTTTGAAAAAGTGAAGATTTTAGAAGAGGAGGAAGGGTAAGGTTTCTGCAGTACCCAGGACAGGGCAATATAACCGAGACAAGTAACAAAATCATATATACTTGACTTGTACTCAGCCTAACACTCCGGATGCCTAACAAGCCATCCACTAAACCAAACTGTGCGACGTCGTTCCACAATAGACTTGTATCATCTTCAGCAACCACTGCAATACCAATCTGACTTAGTGGTAAACGAGCCGAGTCAAGCTCGAGTATTGCTGAACTCGACTTGATTTGAAAACTCTAAAATGAAACTTGACTCGATTTAAAAACTCACGAGTTTAAAATTTTCAAACTCGACTCAAACTCGAAATTCTGAAATAAAACTAGTGAGCAGCTTGAAAATACTCGAAATGAAAAAAAAAATTCTTAAACTTAAATCGATGAAACCTCAAACTCAAACATAAACCTTAAATACATGAAATCTATTGTATTTTTAAAAAAATTAATACATAAATATTAATATTATTAATAATTTATTTTTTTTTTAAAAAATCTTAATATATTATATTTTCGAGCTGCTCACTAACTTTTCGAGTCGAATATCGAGTAGCTCGTTTTAGTTCGTTAAGAACTCAAGTCAAGCTCGAGCTCGAATCGAGTTCATTCAATCCGAGTATTTATGAGTTGATCGAGTCGATCTCGAGTAACTCGCGATCAGTCTCGTCTCATTTACAGCCCTACTTACAAATCCCCAATTCCCTTCGCACTCAAACCCTAACCGTTCCTCATCTGCTTCCAAGGGCCATAACAATACCCCTGCTGCACTCGAGCCTTGTCCCCAAGGCTCGAAATTGGGAAATTGCAAACTTCAAGATTGATATTGTTTAAGTTGACCCTGTGGCTGTCTCTCAGCATGCAAAGGTTATGAAGACAGTTAGAGAAAAATAAGTTCTTTCTTTCATTGTTGACATGTTCTTACAATGCTCAATGGAATGCGGATCAATTCGATACGAGGAACAAAACTAGGATGCAATTTGCTACTAAGACGTAATTTGATAGGGTAGTCTTCTCTTGTGGCTGTTTAGTAGGAACAAAATACGATTTATTGGAACATAAAATGTTTTTTAGAACTTATGTATATAGAGTTTTTATGTACTCATAATTCTAAATAAATAAATTCTCTGAAGTTCGTGAATTATTTTTTTAATTTAATAATCTTATAATAAACTATATGTTAGTCAGATCATTAGTTTTACTGAATTGGATTGTTAGTGCTCCTTGATTGGGAATGGCATACCAATTCAAAAATCACTGGGAGACCTGACTGGTTTTTGGTGAGCAATCCTTCCATTTGAAAATGCCTATTTTCATCTTGTGTAAGATGGAATTATACTTTGAAGTTGCTAATTGCTTTGGAGAGACAACAAGGGAGAAAGTAGAAAAAGGGATCAGGAATGCTTTGTTGCCCCTGCCCCTTAATTTCTATGCTAAAATATACCTTCACCAGTTCTTTGTTTGTTTTTTTAAATTTAAAATTTTTAGTCAATAAGAAGATAATACTATGGGATTTGTTAGTTAACTTGGAAAACTTGTTGATAAGCCTTTTGAGCTAACCTTAATTGGGATTAATTTAGCTGTTCTTAAATGAATATGATAAATGATTTAATATTGTTTTTGAATAAAGTAGCCGATCCCTTTTGCTTATATGGAGGTATATATTTTAATGAGATCCTTAACTGGTGAAGGTATATTTTAAATGTGCGGCCAATAGGTATACATTCCTTATGCTTTATAATTTAAGAGATCCTTGGGGCAGGGGCAAATAGATAGGCATATTCCATTTAAGAACAGCTAAATTAATCCCTTATGCTTGCTCTATTATTCCATTTTCTTTTGCTATCTTATTCTTGCCTCTGTAAACAAGATGAAGAGTACTTGCCCCTTAATCTGCATGCATTTCAGTGCTTTTTGAAATTCACTGCTTTATAATTTGTTTGCCTCTAAATCTATCCCTCCTGCAGGACCAAACTGTTTTCGGAATCTCAGCGGATCCAATACACCATCCAAACGCGGACTCAGGACATTCCATATGCTCGAACATATCTATTGACACTGAAGGATATAAGGATCAAGTATGTTAATCCCTACTTTAACTTAGTTGCTGTTGTTTGTAAACTCTTAATGGTGTAATGAATACCATATTTCATGGTTTAATTCTGTTCCTTTCCTTCTTTTTCTGCTATGATAAGCGTGCTTATGTGGTTCTTGGTTTTTTCTTCCTTCTATAGTTGAATACGTATAGCTTTCAATGCAGAAATACTTTTGTCTTGTTTTGCATTGATTTTCCTTTTAAAGTTGATTTGAGCGTTTGAGCTGACACTAAGAGCTGAAGCTAACTATTTTCTAATTTTCTTTTCATGAACTCCAAGTTTTGTTTTTAATGATACTAATTTCTAGGCTTGTTGTAATGAGTAAAACAGTTCTGCTTAATTTTATATCATTTCTCTACCTTGTATAGGAGAGGACTCACTGACGACCTTGGTGCTGAGGCAATGATGGATGCTTTGGATAAAATCGAAAAAGAAATCAAGAAGCCTCTTATGAGAAATGAAAAGAAATCAATGGCTCTTCTTACGGCAGAGTTTGACAAGACCAATAAGCAGTAAGTGTCTTTCTATGACTAAATATGCTTTATTTCTTTAAACATTGACTAAGATTCTCTGAAAAAGAATTGTTAATTTCACATTCAAGATGTATTCTTGGACTTGGAATCAGAAAGGTTCTTTATGAGATTCCAACAACGGGCTCATGTGGAAAATACTTAATTTTTGCAAAGCATCTTTATAATATGGTACTTTTCACAGAATGGCTGCTCTAATATGTGGTTATGAGCTGTTGTAGAACTCTAAATTTCTTCTGCCCATTAAGTGGGGAGTTATTTTTAATATTTAATTATGAGCTGTTGAAGAATTTTACATCCGTGCTTGCTTCTGCCCCTTAATGGAAATGGAGATGTTTGTCTTTTTTGTCTGATTGTTTGTCTTAACAGGCTTGGTATCCGGAAGGAAGATCTGCCCAAGTATGAAGAACAATTGGAGCTAAAAATTGCCAAGGCTCAATTGGAGGAACTGAAGAAGGATGCGCTAGAAGCAATGGAAACACAAACTAAGCGGTATGTTAATGATCTTATGTTTTGCTACGATGGTGCTCTCCTTTTTTCTCGCTAGGTATCTTATGGAATGGCCCAGGGACTTTATGGATGGAACTGAGTTTGCTCCTAAAAGCATATTTTCCTTTTTATTATCCATACTTGCACACACATATTGGTTAAGAAAATGACCTCCTTCAGTCATACTCTTGTAAAACTTTGAAGCTGTCTTCTGTATTATTAATTTGTGAGATACACATACAACTAAGATACATTTACGATTTACTGTTCAGTATGAAAGAAGCATGATGGTTTATATCAATAAAGAAAAATTAAAAGAATTGTTAGTTTTGTACATGTAACACAGTTTAGACAACCAAATCATTGTTGGGTATTTGCAGCAGCCAAAATATTGAATGGATGAGTGTTTTGTTTGTATGCAATGCATGTCACTTGTAGACACTAATTTTTTCATTTTATTTTAAAATTATTATTATTATTAAATAATAATTACAAATATTATCACAGGCCCAGTTACAAGATCTGGAGGCCCGTTTATAAAATCGTCCCAAATATAACAGACCTAACCCGGTCCAGAACCTGGAGGCCCAGATCCAGATCCGACCCAAGACCTGATCCAGATGCTTTTAGGGTTTCCACATCTCCATCCACCAGCTCTTCACAGCCGTTGGATCTGGAGAGATCCAACGGTACAGATCTCTTCCAGCAGAAACCCTAGGGTTGGTGAACCCTAGGGTGATTTCGGCGCCGCCTCTATGATCCAACTGCTCCGCCGTCTCGCCTTCAACCACTCCGCTGTCATGTTCCCCAGTTATCTTCTGCCACTCCACCAAATCCTCTAGAAGACTCAAGGAGAGCCACACACATCGCAATCTGGTGACTCACCAAGGACCCTCCTGTGATAGATCCACCGAGGAGAACCTCAACGAGTCCTATAAAAGAACTCGATTTACCTACAAATAAGAGGGAAGGAACGGGAAGGAAGCAACTACCAACGACCAATAAAAAAACGAAACAAAACAGAAATAACCAAAAGAAAAGAGAGAAGAACTTACCACTGTTGGAGAACCAAAACGTCGTCGGAGAACCGAAACGTCGAGCGAAATAATCCTAGATCTACGACGCTTGGTAAGGTTTTAAACCAAAACAACCTTAGATCTAAGTTTAGAAAAATAGAGGCTTTAATCTAGGGTATTTTGGTGAACTCCGACCACCGTGGATGGTGGCCGGCGGTGGCTATCGATGGTGGTTCACGGCGATCGACCGTTGATCGTCGTCCCTCCGATGGAGGATTTTAGAGAGATGCGAGAGAGAGTTTGAACTTCTCTCTCATAGAGAGAGAAGTAAAAAAGAAAAAATGAAGAAGATGACCATTAAAGGCCGGTTCAGGTGTTTCCCTCCCCAAACGACGTCGTTTTAGGGAGGGACCTTTGTGTAATTTCCTGCTTGAAAAAATAATGCCCGTAGTCCCTCTCGTTTTGTTACTTTTCATTATGGTCACTAAAATTTAGTTTTGATATATTTTAGTTTTTTTTTTCAAATTTAATTTAATTTTATTTTAATCCCTATCAGTTTATATAATATTTAAAGTAAATATATTATTTAGTCCCTTATATTTTAGTAATTTTTATTTTAATCCCGTATTAATATTTATAGTTAAATTACACTATTAATACCTATATTATATAATATTTCAAATTATTTCTATTAATTTAGATATTTTATATTTTAATCTTATAATTTTAATTTTCTTTATTTTGGTCATTATTTTATTTTATTTATTTTTATTATTACCCCTTTAATTTCAATATTTTTAATTTAGTACTTTAATAATTTTATTTCAATATTTTAATTTAGTATTTTTTTATATCCTATAATTTTAATAATGTTTATTTTAATCCCTTATAATTAATTATGAGTTCAATTAATAATTTTAGTCTATTTAAGTCGTTTAATTAAGTGATATTAGTTTTCATATAATTAGATTATTAAAATATTAATAGTAAAAACACTTGTAAATTATATGAACTCATTTAGTTTTATATTAATATAAATAGACCTATTTTAATATATATGTTTTGTCATATATAGAAATTGATAAACTATTTTTTTTGACTTTGTTATCACACATTAATCAATGAACTTGAAATAGGTTAATTAGGCTTAAATGGTCGACATAGTTAGTATAGTTTTGAAATTAATATAAAGCTGATATGATTAGTCACCTAACCTAAAAAAAGAAGAAGAAAACATTAATAATTAAAAGTTGTCTTAACTTTGTCCCCACGCACATGTTTTGTCTTTTTTATTTATTATTATTTTTATTATATTAGTATTATTATTATTATATTATTATTATTAATAGATTATTATTATTAATTTTGTTTTTCTTGAAATATGTGTTTTATTCCTTAAAATATTTTTAAGTAATCATAATAACTTATTCTAATTAATTTAATCAATTTTGTAATTTAATTAAAGGACAATATTTATTTATTTTTAAATATTAAAGAAAAAACTGTCTTAAAATAAATAGATGTCTTATTCTGGTATTTTAAAAATGAATAAATATTATTTTTAATATATATATATATATATGTATGTATATGTATATATATATTTACTTCATTTTTATTTAAATTTTTTTAGGAAAATTATCATATTCTTATTAATATTTATTTATTTTTCAATATCAAAAAAATGTGTTGTCTTAAAGTAACTAGATGTCATTTTCTAATATTTTTAAATAAATAAATACCCTATTTATAAAATTAAAGTATATATATATACTTTAATTTTATAAAAATTATTTTAATATATTTTTCCTTAGAATTATTCGATTGAACCTGGAATAATAGGATCGTAAATTAAATTCATATTTGAATTCTTAGATTTTCACTAATATAGACAATTTATAATTGAAGGGTACTAATTTTGGGCTTTGTGGGGGTGCTAATCCTTCTCCAAACGTAACCGACCACAAATTCCTTTTTATTATTAAAAAGAATGAATTTCTGGTTATACGCAGACTGGTTTATCTTTTAAATGATGTTTTCTTAAAAACTCTTTTAAAAGATGATTTTTAGGTATTCGACCTACCTAACCCAAAAGGTTCGATGACAACTCTAAAACATTTCATTAAAAATCATTTATTTATTTACTCGTTTTTCCGCTAAGAAACAATTCGTGCCCAGGCGAAAAACCGGTTACGACAGTTTGGCAACTCTGCTGGGGACGCTGGTCAAACCTAAGTCAATTATATATTGTCTCTATAATTGGAAATTGAAAATTGAGAATTCAATTTTATTTAATTTATGATTCTTTTCATTTCTTTCAATTATTTTTATTTTATATCCTTGTATTAATGTTTATATTTTATTGATTTTTAGATATTAGAATTCATTTTAAGTGCTTGTTTGTCAAAGGTTTGAGAATTTCTCCTCACACATAACATATGCATTGTATAACATAAGCTTTATAATCAAGCTTGTCCCTTTTAAGTGGGAGTGAAAGCGACGTCTTCGTGAGAATTTATTCTCCATGTCAGACCTAGCAAGTAGCTTTCGGGGTTCATATGCTCTATGTCTTCGTGAGAATTTATTCTCCGTGTCAGGCATAGAGAAATGTGTCCCCTCGAATTGAACTCAATCCGCTTAAGTCTATAATGGACTAGTATTGAGGGTTTGGCAGCCCAAGGGGGCACCAACAAGGACAGTTCGAGTACATTTACTCCTAGAACTGAAACCTTGCATATAATAAACCCTAGAAATTTTCCTGATCTAAGACAATACTGAAACCCTGTCTGTAGGTGTATACAAAGGAGAAATAAGCTCTAGCTTTTAATTTATTTGATTTCATTTTTTTGTAAATAAAGCATGGAACTAGAAATCATGATGTTAGGATTTATACCTTGATAGATAGGAGCTTTTCTTTCCATTAATTGGTACTAACCAATTTATTTTTTCCTTTCTCTCATTTTTATACATTTTGTTTTGCTATAACTTGTTTATATTGATTTCTTTTGTTTGCATTGCATGATCATTGCATAACCAAAAGGTGTTGACTTGAAAGACTGTTCATCAAATTGGAAAGAATTCATAAATGGACAAAAAGTTTTATGATCAAACAAAATATGACGCAACCATGGAATGACATCCTGAGGGAACTTCGAGGATAGAGGAGAGCTATGCACCCAAAGATCGTATGCCTGTTGAAGAGCAAAAGGAGATACGAGAAATAAGAGAGAAGATGTCCAAGATGATGGGTAGAATATCTGTTTTGACCAAAGGAAAAGAGATTCCTGCACAAAAAAAGAGAAACCTCAATGAAGATAAATCTGCAATCTCATATATGCAATGGACTTCTGATCCTAACCAATTTGAGAAATTAAAGACATTCATCATTCGTATTCACAAGTTATCTGGAGATACCAAAGAAATGGTGACAACTGTAAAAGCTCCCAAAGATGAGAAGAAATCATGTAATCTGAAATCGTAGAAGTTTAGTCTGTTCCCAACGTCTAAAACTCAGGTTCAATCCAAGACAAAAGGCGGTTCTCATTTTGATGATATCTCTATATCATATAAAGAGTTATATGAGAAGCTACTTAAAGCGCAAGAAGTGACTCCGTACTACATAAAACCGTTCCAACCTCCGTATCCGAATTGATATGACATCAACGTTTATTGTGAATATCATGCCGGCGCTCAAGGACATACCATTGAGAATTGTCTTGCCTTCAAACGTTGAGTCCAAAGTCTTTTGGATCATGGAACCTTACAATTTATGATAAATGATCGACCTAGTTTGGTAACTAAAGGTCCTGCTAGATTAATACCAAAAGTCTTCAAAGGTAAAAGTATCAGTAAATGTGTCCAGAAGGAAGAAGATTTGCTGAGGTCTGAGGCTCAAATACGTCATTTAAAGATTGAAAACGATAAATTGAGCACCAAAATGGAAACCACGCATGAAGATTTTCAGAAGGTCAATCAAGCCTTTCAAAA